GGCAGGCAGGCAGCTCGTATTTATAGCGCCGGGGGGATGGAGTCGTCCGTGGGCTGTCGGACATCGGCACGCCGGCGAGCCGCGGGGGTTTGCTTTGCCTGGCCGGTGTCTTTGGTGATGGTTATGGGGTGGGAGGGGGGGTGCTGCCCCGGCAGAGACCCCCCCAAATCCTCCGGAGAGCCCGAAGCACCGACCGCTGGGACCCCGCGTGGTGAGAAGGGTGTTCCCTGCTGCCATTCCTCTGCCTGAGATAGCCTGGGAGAGGGCAAAACCTGCAGGCAGCATCTGGCAGAGCCGTGCAGGCAGGTGGGGATACACAGAGCCGCCGTCTTCACGCTTATATTTAAAACCTCAGCTTTTAACTTCTGCTTTCATTTTGCTCAATTTTCACTGCTGGGACAGGGCTGAGCGTGGTCTGGGACCGTCCTGGGCCCTCGAGCTCCCCCCTCTCCCACCTGCAAGATGCCACACAAGGTGCCGAACGACATGAGTAATCGTTAAGCCAGCACTCAAGTGACTCATTAGTGACAGTCACCACTGATTTATTTTTTTTCCAGCTGATATTTTCAGCTGATTTCCCTGCTCCCTTTTGGCCCGATTTCTGGCTTGGGCTTGCAGAGGTGGGAGCTGTGATGCCGTCAGGAGGCAGCCAGGTAGTCCCCCGTGCTGGAACTCTTTGCAAAAAGAGAAATTAAAAAAAAAAACAAAAAAAAAAAGGTTTTGGGCCAGGTAATGAACTTGAGGATTTCAAACTGCCCACGGCTGCCTCCGGTGGGGCTGCATCCCTCCCATCCAGCCTGGCCCCTCTCCCGGGGCTGGATGTAGGTCAGTCGGGAGTGGGAGGTTATGTCTGCGCCCTGCCCCACGTCGCTGGATCTTCTCTTAATCTTCCGCCTTAATAACCGGCGCGTAAGCCTCAGGCCGTAGGAGCCGGGATTTATTCTGCCTCCAGCCAGGTGCCGGCGGTAAGCCTGGACGTGTGAATACCGTAGAGGAAAGTGTCTGCATAAATAAAGCAAACTGCCCCGTTACAGCGCTGTCCTTGAGCTATTTTGGAGCAGCGGGAAGGTGAAGGCTCTTCGGGGAGGTACCTCGCCACTTCACGTCATTTTTTCTCTCGTTTCCCTCCAGCTTTGGTAAAGCTCCCAGGTTTTTTTCCCTACTTTTCCTGTGGAACAGAGAGGCGGAGCGTGTGCCGGCATGGCAGGTACGGGGGGGGGGGGGGGGGGGGGCCCCCGGCGGGGGCACCCCCCCCCAAAACCTCTGAAGCCCACCTGGGGCTTTACTGGCCGTAATGTCACCTTGTCAGTCCCCGGTGGGGTTGTGGGTGTCCACGCTTGCAGGATCCACGTGGCCAGCGAGGGCTAAATTTGTCTTGATGCTTGTGGGTGAGTGGGTGGGTGGTGGTTACGAGGGGAAATCCTTAATTCCCACGTGAAACTCATCAGTTCTTGAGGCCGAACGAGACTAATTAGGAAGACTCTTGATTTACATTCAGCTCCGTGCAGTGCCCAATGCTGGTGAAACTTTTTATTGCAGAAAAAGTGAACAACTTCCCTCCCCTGCCGAGGTTCATCCCCTTGAAGCCGTGTTTCTACCAGGACTTCGATGCGGAGATCCCGCCGCAGCACCGGACCATGGCCAAGCGGCTTTACTACCTCTGGATGCGTGAGTCGCTGGGCAGGGAAGGGTTCGGGTGGGTTTGCGTTTGCCTCTCCTCTGGAAAGCACCGGTTGAAAGAGCAGAGCAAGATCAGGGGAAGTCCTTCTGCCCCTCCAGGCCCTGGTGTCTCCTGTTAAAACCCATTGGGGATGGGATGAGGGCTGCAGCATCCCATGGGCTTCAGCCCTTCCAGCCTCCGGGACGGAGGTGCGGAGCTGGCTCGGCATCCGAGGGCCGTCGGTGACCTTGACGTCCCGCGGGAGCCCGCTGCGAGGAGGAGATGGCTCGGCCCCCACACGTCCTCCTGCCGAAGGATTTACTCCCCTCTTGGTCTCGCTTGGCTGCTGGCCTCGTCCCGCCAGAGAGCTGCCAAGGCTCCGCTGGGTTTCTTCGGCAGCCGGGCTGGGGAAGGGCTTTCTCTGCCACCCCAAGCTCCTCGGCAGCCCTTCGGCAGCGGCCCGAGGCTGAGATGGAGGGCCAGGACTGGAGGGCCAGGGTGCCTGCTCCCCAAAACAGGGGAGCCCGGGGCTTCCCCCAAAGCCGGGTCTTGCCTGTTCCTCTTGCATGCCTTGGTGTGCCGTGCTGTGCTAACAGAGCGCTCACGTCTTCTAACTCTCAAAACTAGCCTGGATCTCTCTTGCTTACCGGAATCGGGTGGGGAAAAGAGCCGGAGGGACAGATTGCGCCCCGACGTATGTGGAAACGTTACTGAAGATGCTGCTAATTGCTGTGTGCAGCTCGGGGCAAGCTGGCACCATCGTTTTATTTTTATTTAGAAGAACTTAGTTCCTTAATCGGGCGTTTTTCCCTGAACTTTGGAAGCGTATCAGTGCCCAGGGAGTGCCCTGCGCTTCGGAGGCAGGCTACGAGGAGCCGAGCTGGCACCGGAGAGGTCGGGCGTTCCTGCTTTCGGCACGGCGCCAGGCTGGCACCCCTGGGGCGGTGCCTTGCTTCGGCTTTTGGGGACCGCATCCCATCGGGAAGGTGACCCTAGGGTAACTTCCCCCACCGTGTCAGGAGGGTTAGCGTTAGCTGTTCTGTGAAGGAGGAGGGGAAAAAAAAAAAAATGTGCTTCCCTGGAGAAGCTGCCTCCGGGGTGTTAAATCCCTTCCCCGTCTCAGTCTGGCTGTTCTGGCTCTGCTTAATTTAACAGAGCTCAGTTCTTGCTCCAGCTTCTCCCGCAGCACAAGGACCAGCTCTCTGAGCCAGTCGCCTTGTCTGTTGTTTTCTGTCTCCGGAGCTCCTCTCTGGATCATTTTCTCCCCAACTCCCCCGCAAACCCCCAGCCAGCCGCAAGCACGGGGAGGCTGAGAGGTCCCCTCGGTGTCCTTGGGGGCTCTAGGGAGCAGCGGGCGCCTGGTCAGCCCGGCCAACTGAGCTCCCTTTCTTGCCAGCTGCAGCTCTCTTGCAGGCGGCGGTGGGAGGGTTTTAGTTCTCGTCAGAATAATGAATCATTCTCAAAAATCGGAGGCGTCAGAATGCAGATGAGCCTTCCCTGCTTTGTCCTGTGTCTGCTAAGCTGGGCTTCATAGTAATAGCCCTTGTATCGCTTAGCCCCGAGCAGGGGTGGGAGAAGCAAACACGCCACCCCAGTGAACTGGCGAGGCAGGGGCCGGGAGTTCAGGACTTCAGCTCTCAGCTCGGGGGGGGGGGGGGTAGCTCGGGGAACTCTTGCACAAGTTCCTTCAGCGAAACCGTAGCTGGAGGCAGGCGAAAAAGCTTCACTCCGATTCCTCCAGCTTCCTTCCGTTGGTGGAAACGTGCCCTGGCTCACCGGCAGCGGGAGGATACGGCTCTTCCCTGTCCTCGGAGCCCCGCGAGCCCCGGACCTGCTTCAGACATTACAACTCTGAGCGATGTAGTATTTATTTTTTTTCCCCTCCTGCTCCTCAGCTGAGGTTAGACCCCCTTCGGCTGAGCCAGCCCGGGGCTGCTCCCCGGCCTCAGCCAGCTTAAGTTAAGGGAGATCCAGCTAGAGTAACGCGTTGCCGGCTGAACCCGCTGGAGGTCAGCCCCGCGTGGGCCTCCCTGGGGTCGGGGTCTAGCGGTATCGCACCGACCCCCTTGCGTACGCGCTACTGTGCTCCCTCTGTGTGTGTGTGTGTGTGTGTGTTTGCAGTGAACAGCATCACCTTGGCGGTGAATCTCGTTGGCTGCCTCGCATGGCTGATTGGAGGCGGTGGAGCTGTTAATTTTGGACTGGCAATTCTCTGGCTCATTCTCTTTACGCCCTGCTCCTATGTCTGCTGGTTTAGACCTATTTACAAAGCTTTCAAGTAAGTGGTCACACCTGAGCCCGGCTTCTCGTGGTCTTTTGTTTGTTTGTTCGTTTTCCTTCCTAAACGGTTAGCGCTTAGCACCGCCCGAACATTTGGGGGAATTTCTGCTCTTTCTGGCCGGCCCTTTAGCTTTACTTTCCAACCTTCAAAGCGAGGCTGTTTGGGACTTCCCGAGGGCCAAAACCCCAACCATGCGATATAAAGACACCCTACGTGTGCCTCTGCGCAGCGTCAGGGGGAGCGGCGAGGATGCAGTTGGGGTGCCAACTCTCTCTCCCCTCCCGCCCATCCTCAAGGCTTCTTTTATATTTTTCCACGAGTCCTCGAGGTGCTTCTATTGATTATCTGTGCTGCCGAGGTCAATCCCCGGCGCGGTATCCCCAGATCTAGAAAACTGGGGGTGTATTTCTTCCCCGTGCGGGAAGGTTGAGTCTGGTGGTGGGGCGGTGCAAGCCGAGAGCCGTGTCTGAACGCGGACGCCCTCTCGCCTGATGCGCAGAGCTGGCCGAGCCGTGGGGAGGGTCTGGTGGCCCGTGGCTTTCTCAGGCGCCCCTTCACCACCTTCAGCCTCTCCCAGTTTCTCCCTTGCCTGCATTTTTCTCCGGTGCCTGCTGCCTGCAGGCAGCTCCGCTTCTCACCACCTTCTCGCTAAACCACAGCCGCTTCTGCCCCGAAAGGGTCCGAGACGTGGGAGCATCTCCCTTCCCTTGCAGTGCAGCAGGGGTGGAGGTGCAGGGAGCGACCGAGCCTTCTCTTGCAGGACAGACAGCTCGTTCAGCTTCATGGCCTTCTTCTTCACCTTCATGGCCCAGCTGGTGATCAGCATTATCCAGGCAGTGGGAATCCCCGGCTGGGGCGTCTGGTAAGGAAGATGCTGCTCCCGTGTCGGGTGCGAGGACAGTCACCGTTGAGCTGCTGCTGCGGCCTCTCGGTGTTTTAACATCCTCAGCGCTTCAGTAGCTTCCCTCCTCGGGGAAGACGGTTTGAGGAGCTGGGAGGGATGCTGGCAGGCTGCGGCGTGCAGAGCCAGCCGGGAAAGCCCCGGGCTGCTGAACGGACCGGTCGTTTTCGTCTCCTTGCAGCGGCTGGATTGCAGCGATTTCCTTCTTCGGGACCAACGTGGGGTCGGCCGTGGTGATGCTGATCCCCACCGTCCTGTTCACGGGGATGGCGGTCTTCTCCTTCATCGCTCTCACTATGGTACGGGAGGAGAGGGGGGTGCCGCGCTGCTTCGGGGAGCCCTTGCCGCCAGCCCGGAGGGTCAGCGCGAGCTGCCGTCCCTCAACGCCTCTGGATTTTTCTCTTTCCAACCTGCTACAGGTGCATAAGTTTTACCGGGGGAGCGGCGGGAGCTTCAGCAAAGCCCAGGAGGAGTGGACCACGGGGGCGTGGAAGAACCCCCAGGTCCAGCAGGCAGCACAGAGCGCGGCCATGGGGGCGGCGCAGGGGGCCATGATGCAGCACGAGACGCAGTACTCGGCCACCCCGAACTACACCTACTCCAACGAGATGTGAGCAGCAGGACTCTGTCCTCGGGCGAAAGATCT